TTATTAAAGCTCAGTTCCAGTTAAATTTCGTCAACTTGAAATATCCACGGTATCTTCACGGATAACTGTCAGGCGATAACAATCCTTATTCGATCGAAGCCAGCTGTCTGAAAAAGAGACGATAACGAAAAAGCAAACAAAGAAAACTAGTTTCTGCGGTGACACCTTAAAGACGGGAGGGAGAGAAAACCATCAAACGAGATATTTTAAGAAATTACCTAAACAAAACTGTTGCGAACTCGCATATAAAGATGAATTCTTTTTCTCTCTCGCGTCCGTTACGAGACAACCAAAGCAGGAAAATTAAATCAAGTTCGATAAGTACTATACTCGAACGAAGTGATAATGCTTATAAGTGAAGCGACATTAGCCCCGACTATCTCGAGTACTCGTGCAGCTGTGTTTGCGTAAACGATTCGAAGTCGAAAGCCGATCTCTCTTTATCTCGTTGTGAGAACCCGCGCGTCCGCCTCGTTAACTCGCGAAGCTTTTCACGGTTTAAATACGTAACTTAAAGTCCCATCATTTTTCGTTGGAAAAAGAATAAGTTTAGTGGGTATCACGAACCGGCATCCTTGATCGTGTTGTGCGATCGAGAAACCTCCGCAGAAAAGTTCCCGATAAAAATAACGGTCAGTACGACGTATCGTGCAAAGACCCTGTGACTGTGACTGTTAATTAAATCATAAACTGTTAATTTGACCGTTAAACCAACTAGCCTCGGGACTTGACGACCAATAGTTTTCCGGCTTCAATAACGATCACTGGTTTTTCTTTTTTATTTCTTACATAGAGAGAGAGAGATAGATCTGTATTGTTCGCGAATCGAATATTGAAAGATATTTAGTTTCATGAAATTTTCACGATATTCTCAATCCTATCGATTTTTGAGAAAATACAGCCGCATAGTTCAGCTGTAGCAAACCGTGACAGACAAATGGAACGAATCGAAGGCCAGCTTATCGTGAAAGATAGGTACACGTATTTGTTGTAGGTACGTGACGAGCTTCTATGCAGTGTTGCGACCAAGATAGAAGATATCGAATGCAGCCTGCAAAAAAAAGAGACAAGGAAAAAATAAGTAAAAGGGAATTCAATTTTAAGGAGCAGCGGAGATACTATCATTGAATCGAGGCTAAATCATCCCGGCTAGGATGTAATATGACAGCGAGAGCCAGAAATAAACCGGCAGTTTCACAGGTGAGTGCACTATAATTCTTTCTTTTTCCTCTCAACTTTTCATTTTTTCTTAATGGAATTTTTTGTACTTTCACTCTTACGATTGCAGAGTTGCACAAAATTCTCGTTTCTCATAGACGCGATACATATTACGATTTTACAGATTCCATTGTCAAATATTCAATTATAAATCAAAGCGAATAAAATAAAAGATGATGTCGAAATCGTTGAAGTTATTTATTGCGAAACTTGATAATAACGCCCTCGAAAACTGTATTTTATCGGATTCGATAAGCTCTTTATTCAGAGGAAAAAAGAGAAACGAAGAATTATGTGCCAAACTGTATGTAGTTTCTCAAAAAGAACTCGTGTTGTTTCGGTGCGCAGTCACGGTCACGTGTGAATTTAATATCGAGAAGCCGAAAGGTTAAAGTGAGATAGAGAGAGGGAAAGAATCGTATAGAGTAAGCTCGATAATAAAGTAGAGTTCAGCCACGCGCGTACGTACTGCGAGTGCAGCACGAGATCATAACTTTCTCCAAATGGAAGTTCTTACGAAACATTATAGCTGCCTACTATTCGCGAGTCAGCCAAACGAGGCGTCTTTTTATATCACTTTTGCCTCATACACAAACTCGAGATAACGTCTTGGACAGTTATCAATAATAAGAATTGAATTTGCTGTCATGTAGCAAAAAATGTCCAAATCTTTTTAATCTAAAGGCCACCCGTTTGATAGATTTTTTATAATTACCTTTTATAATCATAAATTATGTGACTGTATAACAACGACCTGCGTATACTGACTAATTTGTCTCTCGATTTGCTCTCAAGTGATTTAATCACTTATTTATATGAATGTTCTCTCAAAGAATTTTATCACAAACGATGCTATCTTTTCCATTTCACCGAAGTATTATCTATATATAAATACAGCAATTTTATTTTTGAAAGTCATACATAGCATGTATTTGATTTTAATCATTATTATTCAGAACGGCTTGCGCGCAATATTCTTCTAAACTGATTGATCTCTGTATACTTTGTATATGCATGTAGCCATGCTCGGAGCGTGATTTTTCTCAGAGCCGCATGAATAAGTCTGAAACCGGTGACTACCATTCAATGACGATATACGTACATACATACACTGTAGACTTTAAGTCGAAGTAATTATGATGCAACGATGCGTAACGCCGTCTTACGCTTTCTGCGATTCAGCAAAAATCGTATCGCCTCGTTTATATTTTTAGAATTGAATATGTAGTTTGGCACGTGTAAAACGTACAACGCTGGTCGCTTTCTCTATGCTTTCCATGTCGTGTGCTTTTAGGAATGGGAATGAATGACTTTGGCCTGGAAACCGTCAGAAGAATTTCCAGGTACGCAACGCTGGCGTAGACCCTCGGGGCTATTTTCGAAGGCCCCCTTGAACTAACTTTCACTCCGAAATGTCAACGTTCAGTTTCAGTTTTCAAGCCCGCGCACGCATCAATCAATCGGCAGTCTCATGACAAAGAGGCGATTGTTGTAAAACCATTTACGATTTCTCCCGTCTTTTCTGTTGCAGAGAGTGGGGAACACTATTGACACGTGCATTATCAATAGGGACATCTGTGTACGTGAACGCTTTGATTAAAAGGGATCGCATAAAAGGTGTTAACGGTCGTTTACAATTAATCGCAATCTTTATCTGTAACTCATAGATAGAAGTGTGAGAAATGTATAGCGAGCCCATCGAAATTCGAAAATTAAGTTACCCGTGACGTTTTCCTTATTTACTAAGAGGAGTATATAAAAGAATGGATGTACTGCTTTCTGGTTTTACATACACATATCTGACAAATCATATATGTACATATGTATATATCGTTTTTGCGTCACAAAAATAAGAAATTCGACGTTCACGAGCTAAGACCGGCTCGCAAGCAGGTTTTACTCGATTAAGTCAGGACAACATCCGCTGCAAGTATTTTTCTTAGCGGCGGCAAGAGGATCTTGGCGCGGACATTTTCTTTGGTTATCTAGCTGTATGAGTATAATTCGACATCATAAAGCTAGGTTACCGGAGTTAAGCTCCTCGCCATATCAACTCCAGCGATTTCACCACGTTCTCCTAAGCTCTAGCTATTAAGTTAAATGTATAAGTTAACATGTCAAATTTAAGTTATTTATTATATTATAAATAAACGACAGTTTTATAAAAGAAATTCTAAAAAAGATNTAGTAATACATTATAATGATACATAAAAAGAAAGTTTCTCTTTGGAATTAACAAGCATCAAACCGAGATAATGTTCAGTAGAAAAAGAGCATGTTCCTATTCGAAGATTTTTGTATTCCACCTGCACGAGAATCTACGAGGTAAGCATTTGTAATTGCTAGTAGTGTCATTGCCACGTGACTCGATTACCTGTTGAGAACATTTGAGGACCTATCGCTATTTCATTTTCTTATGCGGTCATATTTTGATTTACATACTCGAAAGCCAATAAATTGTGTCTATCAATTCTTTACGTATTCTAGCATTCTATCAATCAAGGTTTCCTTAAAATTACTTGAAATATAAATGAAAATAGCGTTTTTGTGGGTATACATATATGTTACATATTTTATCCATATTTCCAAAAAATACTTCCTCTTTGAAAAAAGGTGAAAAGATAATAAATAAAAACACAAACAGCTCGTAATTTAAATACGAGGCCATTTCAGGAAATGTATTAAGATATCGGTATCGGTTTAGTAAAGTTTGGACTTCGTCCATTTTTAAGATCGATGAGAATGCAAAATTGATTCATTTTTAACAAAGTCAAGAGGGCGCCACGTTCCAGCACATCCAACTAAACAGCAGATACACCAGTACCGACGGAATACCAGCGGATTTTATGAAACGTATCCCAACTTTTGACACAGTTTGCATCCGAATGTTTGTAATAACTAACAATCCAATAAAATCAGTTTGCATTCTATTTATTCATAGAATACTCTTTAGTTCTCAATGGTCTAATTCACTATCAATTAATTTACCGTTGTGTGTCAAATGGTAAATTGTAATCTTAGCAATCTACTTCCTGGTAACAAGTCGCAATGAATATGCATTATGTGCAATGATTCATTACATAAGCATTTTTCTTAAAAAGCGTTCGATCAAAATAACAGCTATCAATTCCAATGACAAACCGCGAGTTCTATTAAATGATAAATTCATTTGTATAAAAATTGGAATAAGTAATCTGTTAAAAAGTCGGAACTATAGTTTTCATTTCTATTTCAAATGATATAAGCAGACTAAAGATAACGTTGGTTCAACGGACAAGAATTATTCCGTCAAATTTCTTTTTACGAATATATTGTCATAAAAACTTTTTTTTAATGCTGAATAAAAAATTTAAAACGACGATTCATGATGTATCATTAATTGCCGAGCGCAATTATTTAGCAGGAAGTAGAAGAAATAACAATGATAAAAATCGTTTGATCATATACATATAACTAAAAATATCCAATAATGTTTGATTCATTCGATTTACAACCATGGACGTGATGGACCTATTGCAACAAATGCCGGAAATACCACGTTAATGGGAAGAACTGCCAACACAGCTTTTTACTGCGTAAAGGGCAAATATTTATTTAGTTAAATGGAAATCACACATACATATTTTTTAATGAATGAATGATATCACAATTATGAACCTAAGGAGTCATAATTATCCGAATCTGGTTAATTCCAGCCGGATGTATAGAGTTCAAGGTAAAAATGTTCTAGAATCTTCTAGAAGGTTCTAGAGAGTTCTAGAACTTTACGGGTATATAAGGCGAAATCTAGGTTCTGCGCGGGTTTCATTCAATAACTTGACCAGGTGTCTGTTACTGTGCTCTTGCATTCCACGAACGTGTTTTAGGATCAATTTTATCTGAATATCAAGGTACGAATTCAATTTAACTAAACTATTATGAGATGTTTGAATGTTCCATATCATATTACAAACATTTACTGCATGATATTATATTATATTTCTTGTAAAATAATGGTATTCAGCTTCAGCCATATTTCATTGTTCAATATTATCTGATAGTTTAGCTGTTTCTGACGATTTGATTGTGACGGAACATTATTATAAATGTTCTCATCTTGTCTGTTTTATTTTTTTCTCACTAATACGTGGAAATTATTATATTTTTGTGAAAGTGCACCGAGCACATGTTTTGTGCATCCAATTATATTTGGAGGTTTCTGTACTTACTAAATTTGTTTGTATCGAAGTTATCAAAAATGTGTGCTTTGTTTTTATAACAATTTCATTACATAATTCACTGATTTGATATAAACGAGTAAAATAAGCATGTAACATTGTTATGTGCAAATTACAAATAAATTAATGGAATGGCTATTGCTCTCATTATATTTAATTTTTCTATATTTATTACAGATGTCTACAGAGATGGAGACTAAATCTGAAGATGTAGAAACTTTTGCTTTTCAAGCTGAGATTGCTCAGCTTATGTCACTGATCATCAACACCTTTTACTCGAACAAGGAAATCTTTCTTAGAGAATTGATTTCAAATTCGAGTGATGCTCTCGACAAGATACGCTATGAATCATTGACTGATCCATCGAAGCTTGACAGTGGTAAAGAATTATACATAAAAATTATACCAAATAAGAACGATGGTACTTTGACCATCATCGACACTGGCATTGGTATGACTAAGGCGGATTTAGTCAATAATCTTGGTACGATTGCTAAGTCTGGCACCAAAGCATTCATGGAAGCTCTTCAAGCTGGTGCTGATATTTCCATGATCGGTCAATTTGGTGTTGGATTTTACTCTGCTTATTTGATAGCCGACAAAGTCACTGTTGTTTCTAAGCACAATGATGACGAGCAATACTTGTGGGAATCCAGTGCTGGAGGATCTTTTATTGTAAGATCTGACAAAGGAGAGCCACTGGGACGTGGAACGAAAATTGTTTTACACATAAAGGAAGACCAGTCCGAATACTTGGAGGAAAGCAAGATCAAAGAAATTGTTAAGAAGCATTCCCAGTTTATTGGATATCCAATCAAATTGGTAGTGCAGAAGGAACGTGAAAAGGAATTAAGCGAGGACGAAGCCGAGGAGGAAGAGGAAAAGAAAGAAGAAGATGGAAAGCCAAAGGTTGAGGATGTAGATGAGAATGAAGAGACGGATGAGGATGGAAAGAAAAAGAAGAAGAAGAAGACGATTAAAGAGAAGTATACGGAGGATGAAGAGTTGAACAAAACGAAACCTATTTGGACCAGAAATCCAGATGACATTTCCCAGGAAGAATATGGCGAATTCTATAAATCGTTGACCAATGACTGGGAAGATCATTTGGCTGTTAAACATTTCTCTGTAGAAGGTCAATTAGAATTCAGAGCGTTACTTTTTGTCCCAAGACGTATGCCATTTGACTTGTTTGAGAACAGGAAAAGGAAGAACAATATCAAATTGTACGTGAGAAGAGTATTTATCATGGACAACTGTGAACAGCTGATACCAGAGTATTTGAACTTCATGAAGGGAGTTGTTGATAGTGAAGATCTGCCTTTGAATATTTCTCGTGAGATGCTTCAACAGAATAAGATTCTGAAAGTGATTCGTAAGAATCTCGTTAAAAAATGCATAGAACTGTTCGAGGAGCTCACAGAAGAAAAAGATAATTATAAGAAATTCTATGAACAGTTCAGCAAAAATATTAAATTGGGTATTCATGAGGACAGTAGCAACCGTAGCAAATTGGCGGAGCTTCTGAGATACCACACCTCAGCATCTGGTGATGAAGTCTGCTCGCTTAAAGAATACGTGGCTAGGATGAAGGAAAACCAGAAACACATTTACTTCATTACTGGAGAGAGTAAAGAGCAGGTTGCGAACAGTTCCTTCGTTGAGCGTGTCAAGAAACGCGGCTTCGAAGTTATCTACATGACCGAACCTATTGATGAGTATGTTGTACAACAAATGAAGGAATTTGATGGCAAACAATTGGTATCCGTTACTAAAGAGGGACTCGAATTGCCTGAGGACGAAGAGGAAAAGAAAAAGAGGGAAGAAGACAAGGCCAAATTTGAAAATCTATGCAAAGTGATGAAGACTATTCTCGATAGTAAGGTGGAGAAGGTGGTAGTGTCGAACAGATTGGTCGACTCACCCTGCTGCATAGTCACTTCTCAATATGGTTGGACAGCGAACATGGAAAGAATCATGAAGGCTCAAGCTCTGAGAGATACGTCTACTATGGGATACATGTCAGCTAAGAAACATCTTGAGATAAATCCTGATCATCCTATTGTTGAGACCCTCAGGCAAAAGGCAGAGGCTGATAAAAATGACAAGGCAGTGAGAGATCTTGTGATTCTGCTGTTCGAAACAGCACTTCTTTCTTCAGGTTTTACGTTAGACGAGCCACAAGTTCATGCAACGAGAATTTATAGAATGATCAAGCTAGGCCTTGGTATCGACGAAGATGAACCAGTACCTGAAGAACAAATGGAAGAAACTCCTGTTGTCGAAGAAAATACAGAAGATGCGTCCCGAATGGAAGAAGTAGACTAAACTTTGAGATCTGATTATCATAATTAAAATCCATTCAAAGACTGTAAAGAATAACATTGCTTCATTCAGGGTATTATCCATTTCCATTTTTCATTTCTTGTATCATACAGTTCTAATTTATAGAAACATACGTACTTTTTTTTTTGATGCCAAATATCTTTGTATTAAGTTAAGCATATAATAAAGTTTACTATAAGATATAGATATATAAGTGTTTCTATTATCGACCCAGAACATTAAATCAGTTTTACGAAATCGTACAAGAAAAAATAGATAGCAAGTATATCTTACTCGGTACAATTGCAACAATCGAAGATAAATGTAGTCTGTATAATTTGATATACTGTCACTTGTCTGCAATTCGATAACCTGAATTTCTCTTTAAATTCTAGTTTTAACTATTCGTGTATTGTGCATCAGCGTGTATCCGTTTTACGTAACACATATACCGATTCATTTTATCAAGAATATGGATTTGACAAATTTACATTTCTCATTCTGTAAGGTTTAAACTTCACAAAACACATACTCAGCTTCGTCCCTCGAACATTATTTGGTACTCGCTAAAGTATGTCAAAACACGCCATCTACTCGAGGTTTTAAAGTGAACGAAGAGACTTCTGTATTGCAGACCGAAACTTAGTCACCGTATACGTTATCAGGCATTTTTAAAAGACAATTATGATGGCAAGTAAAGGTTGGAAGGTCAGTGTATCGGTATAATTATACACCGTTTAAAAATGATAGTCGCTCATACATGTAAAATGAAAATGTTTCGGTAGGTGGTAAAACCGCACGTGCCTATGATTAAATTCCGCAAGGGCGGAATTAGTAGAGGTAATATCTCAGCATAAGTCGAATGAGTATAAAGTACATTAGTTGGATTGGAAAAGCCGACTGAAGTCACTATTATTGGTTAGCTACCGCAGCTCCGGGTATTACATCGGCTGCATCATCTGCGCAACCAGCGCCGAGTATTCCAAAGCCAAAAACTGGTGCAACGGGGCCCAACGTTACCGTTTTGCCAACAATAGATGATCTTCATTTGCCGAAACGATTTCAAAGACGAGCCATCGACGAAAAAGAAATCGCTTATATCAATGCAAGTATAATATTACTTCTTTAAAATGCATTCTTATTCTATATTCCTATGTACAAATAGAATTTTACTTGCACATATTAATCATTAACAACATCAAAAATAAACTTTGTTTAATGGAAAGTAAGAAAGTATGTTCAGTATTGATGATAATTTGTGTAATATTTATTTAGCATAGAAGAAGAAATACTATGTAAAGTTGTATTTTATTACAGAGAGGTGGGCCAGAATAAACTTCCTGAATTACCTCTAGAACTCTGTCACATTTAGAATATTTAATGCGAGTCATTTTACTATTACATTTTTCTGTAAAAAGTATTCTGTAAATAAACGCGAGCAAACTAACAAGTTGTTACATGTACCTGCTGTCTACCTGTTAGAGGCAAGGTCTCCCTTTGGTTGTGTGACTCTGCCAGAGAAGCTGCTATTTCTGGCTAACATTTTTGGCTTATTCTTCCAACAAGTAGGATTGTTAATCAGTAAACGCGTGAAAAGAAAGACATTCATAAAATTATTTTGCTACTATGTAACGCTCATGTAAGCATTTGTTATTTTAAATTAGTCAGCTTCTAAATATAAAACTGCAAATTATTAAATATACTTTTATCCGCGTAGGTTTATACTTTTCTCACAATATTTTTCTTGAATCTGAAGTACTTTTATCGTAAAAAGTACGACCGAAGGTTAATCACATTCTTAAAAATTTCTTTTGATATTCTCGTATTTAAAATCGACTGATGAGGATTGTGCTGGAATTAAAAACAAAAGTATTTTGGGGGTAAAAGTGGATAGGCACAGACCTGTCCCATGACAGAAATAGCAGACGACAGTGCGCTGTGTCTTCCATCCGCTCTCGCGATCCCTGGACGTGTTAGCGGAAGATTCACGATTATTTTACCAATTTAACGAAATATAGAACTTCAAACGAACGACGAACAATCGACGAAAATGGCTGAAATAACGGATTTCGGTCCAAGAAAGACGATTTTTATCTTGGCAATTGTGGTCGGGTGTTTCGCGGTACTATGGCCGAAGATCTTTTATCCTATGCTCACAGCATCTGTCACACCGCATCATACGTCTGATAATTCTGGTAAGCATTTAGAAAAATATTTTTTAACGATGAAATATCAGGTAGATTAATGTACTTTTAATATAATTTTTCTTTTTCGATGTCATCTACAATACCAATTCATTGATTTAATTATACCTGCGAACTTATTTCGCAGGTCTTGCTGCTAGTTTTTATTTCTTCGATTAGTTATTTAAATTAAAATATTAAGGTACGCTTTGATATATATACATATACATCGTTTTTTCAATTTATTTTTTAAATATTTGGTAGCGTGCTGCGATGTATTCTTTGAAAGTGATGTTACTGCTGCTGATATTATGAATGAAATATGTCAAAATATATTGAAGCATCATCAAATTGATCCAAGAGTAAAAGATGCTTTGAGAGCAGTGAAACTGACACCACAAAGCGCAAATTTGTGCAAGGAGGAGATTTTAGCCAGATGTGCCATTGATTTGTCCACGTTCCTTGCTGAAAGGGAACGTTTGGGAAAATCTTATAAACAAGTTTTAGAAGAGATTAGATCTTTCAACAGTTCCCTCTGCCTTAAACTGCACTTTGGTATACCACTGTCTCAATTAGGGATACCACATTTGATCAGATACCATATTTTAATGCCCCACAGTAAGAAATGAAAAAGGCTTTACTTTGAATGTTCAATATATGACTACTAACATGATTAACATGTTAATAACTTTGTTCCATTCTTAATATATTTTTATAATTCGAATTGAATCACTCAATTAATTGCTGACTTTTTTAATTGGAAGTATGAATTTGGATACTATTTGACTAATTATACATAGAGAGCAAGTTCGAATTATCTCTTTTATCTTGGCGTGTTGCCAAAATTGCAAATATAACCAGAAATGAGTAGATGGGAATAAGTTTGACCTATAGTAATAGCTTCAAATTCGTGTGTGTGTGGCGAACTTCTTCACGATCTGATAATGTACTAATTTCATATCTTTATGAATTTCAATAACTTCATGTGACAGTGTAATATAATTAAATATTTCATAACTAAGTACGAATAACATTTGTTCCTAGGTACTATAAAGCAAGAAAGGCGTACACCCCCGCACGCAGGTGGTCTGCATCCTGCAATGAGAGAACGTGGGAGAGCTATACCTTCCTCCCACATTGTACCAAAGGTTTCAGATAGACCTGACCACATTGTGCCAAAAATGAGACCACCATTAGGTGGTGCCGGACATGTTGTTCCAGCACAGAAAGGGAATGGTACCATGGGAATCATTATGCCACTGTACACCTTGGGAATTATATTGTTCTTTTTGTACACAATTGTCAAGGTAATACAATTTCGTAATTCATAAAAACACGAAATTTTATTTCGAATAAAATTCTTATACTATTTTAAATTTAATAGGTGCTGAAGAAAAGCTCGGATAGTGAGATCATTTCGGAATACCCGGGAGTAGCTGCAGAGAAAGAATTTCGGAAGATGGTTTTCAGCCCCGAAGCATTTGCTACTGCAATGTCTGGTGGCACTATGCACTATCAAAAAGAAAGATCACCGTCACCGGAAAGGCCTCCTACCATAGAGGAATTAAAGAATCGTAAGTTCTTTCAATTTTTTATGATAAACGACCGAACTCTTGCATATACATTATTATTAATGCAGTGTTTTCCTTAAAAGCTAGTTCCTTTAAAAGAAATACTGAAAAATAAGGTACATGTTTTTTTGAGTATCTAATCAGACTTTTTTACATGGTGTTGCATGATGCAAGGTTTGCACAATTAGAACACACACGTATTTATATACAATCATATGTCTATATATTATATAATCAGAACAAGAAAAGAGAGAAAAGCAAATATCTTAAAGTAAAAGATTAAGAAAAATATTGTAAGTACTTCTGGGTACATTGTTTTGAACACGTTTGGTAATGTTGTACATGCTGGAACACAAGAAGCGGCAGGAGACATAGAGATAGATCAACTGAGACGGCGATTGGTCGAGACTGAAGCAGCGATGGAAAGAATTGTTGTTCAAATGGGCAACATATCACGTTCGGTTATGCATAGTCCAAGCACACCAGAAGAACGAAAGGTTTACTAGGCTAATTATGAAGCGATTTTATTACATTTTTTTTCTCTTAAATTCCTTTAGCCCTTTAGATTATGTGCACGTTGTTGTGTTCTGATTGCCTATCGAGTTTTTTACTTTTTTCCCAATCGTACATAAAAATTGTCCACTGGTCTTATACGAGAACAATCGATATTCTTCGCTTTTTTTCATGCATTTCAATGCTTCTGTGTAACCATATCTAAATTGATCGATCATATTTGTCTATATATATATATAATACATATACATATATATAAAAGAAAAGAAATGCATAAGTACTCATATTTTAGCTGAGTGAAAAGTACTCGTCAAATTCTCATTTAAATTCTTGTATGTACGCAAATGGTAGAATTTATAGATGTTTTTTTACATTTAAATAGTAGATGGGCCTCCAAAGTCCAAAGGCCTGGCAGGGGTTGATCGCTCACCTAAGGTATATTATTTGCCTGAGAGGTTCTCTAACAAAAATAACCAGAGTTTGTGGCAAATTGTGAAAATTACAATCTTTAGTTTTCTTACAAATTATATCATTCCGCTCAGGTGTTATGAATCTTTAGGAAGTTAATTGTCCAGTGATAAGGTTTTCGAGTAAATTACAATGAACTGAAAATCATTTGTAAAGTACATATAACATCATATTCTTAAACGCATGTTAATTGTATTTTATTAATCGTTTGTAAAATTTTATTAATAATATAAAATTTTATTGAACTGTTCATAACAGAAAATAGCATGAAAATTCGATATCGTTTACGTGAATTTTAATATTATACATATAGTACTTATGAGTATTAACCACTATAGAATAGTACTCATTAAGCTTACCAAACATTTATTTAAAAGATGCTTTGTTATTTCTTTTTAGAAGAGTAATATACCAAGTTATTTAGTTGTGTAATTTAATTTACAGAACGATATTGCTGCCCCGGCTGAGCATAGTACGACAGATGAAGAAGTAGAGAACATAGAATCACCGACAGTTAAAGTAATGGGTATGGAAATGACAGCTAGTTGTGAGGGAAAGGGTAGTAGACCCACTACTCCTATAATACCGATTTCACCAAGGTAGAGCAGATATATCAGTAATCTGAATTCTAAATGATAATGTTTTAAATAATAAAATAATTCCAGTCATATTGAGAGGGAGAAAACTCCGCCGATACCGATATATTTAGAGGGAGCACTGCCTCCGCAGTGTGAACTGCTTGTAACAGATTCAGAAACGCACACACAAAAACCGGAAGAAGATGTGGAAGCACCGGTGGTACTTTCAGGCAAAATGACCCTCTCTCTCATCAGTCTCGACCAAAATGCAGCTGTAAGAAAATATTAGAATTCTCAGCAGAATCAAATGAAAAATCTGCGGAGCCTTGTTTTATTTGGTGATTCTTTCATTCATTTAATTGTTTGCTTCTTATACAGATTAGTTATCACAACAAAAAAATGGCAAATCACAGGGAGCTGCATTGAATGTAAAAAAGAAAATCGTAAAAACTATGCTCATACGCTATTGCGCAATTAATCAGTCTGTGATTTGTTTTTGATATCAATGTCTATTTTATATTAAAAACTGATTTTATTAACGCACTAACTTTTTATGTGATCTTGATACACTACACAATGACAAATTCACACGTTGACATAAATATTAATATTTACATTACTAATTGATTACTAATTTGTTAACTGTATCAATAAATTAATGCATAATTTTGTTACAGATTAATAGCCATTCATGTAATTATTTCGTTTAAATTATTTAGTTACTCCATCCCGAGTCTATAGTTGTTGTACACACTCTATTAAATACTATCTATTACGATCATACAAAAGCATTATGAAATAGTTGAAATAATATTATAAATATGTTACTCTATTTCAGGAATCAGAAGAGGAAGACGTGAAAGTACAGAGGGAAGAAAATGCAGCTTTAGATACAGAAGAAGTTTTAAATTCTGGGATAATTAACGTTAGAGAAGAAGAACGAGAAATAGAAATTCAAGATGAAGTGAAAGAAATTTGTGAGGAAACACAACCACAAGCAGAAAAGGAAGAGAAAAGCCAGGAAGAACAATCATATAAACGAGACAAACAAGACAAAATATCATATGATGAAAAAAGAGAAATGGTAAGAGAAAGTGAGGAAGAAGTTGAAGAAACGGAGGCTGCTGAAGAAGAGGAGGAGGAAGAGGTTGAAGAAATTGAAGAAAGCGAACAAGTAAAAGCACAAACCGAAGAAAATCAAGAAGAGGAAGAGGAAGTAGAAGTGGAAATGGAGGAGGAAGAGGAAGTAGAAGTGGAGGAGGAAGAGGAAGCGGAAGAGGAAGAAGTGGTGGAGGAAGAGGAAGAAGAGGAAGTAGAAGTGGATGAGGAAGAGGAAGATGTAAATGAAGAGAACAAAGACGTGGAAGAACTAGAAGAAGACGATGAAGGAGTTAAACAAGAAAGTGAGGAAGAATATGAGGATGAAGCTGATGAAGAAGATGAAGATGAGGAAGAAGAAATAGAAAACAGTCAGAAGGGAAAAGATACTAGAAGAGGAATGTAAAAAGTATACAAAATTTATACCTAAAACATTAATGAGATAGAAAAAAGCCAGGAGATAATAATTGTATCGAGAACAACGAAAGTACGTTGCACGATTTCAGTAAGAGATGTGAAAGAGAAAAGATACATAATGACAATGGGTTGCCTTATAACGAAAAGACAGTCTAGAATAGAAGAAAATAAAAAATTAATTTTTATCTAAATCAGTGTTTACCAATCTTCGAAATTTATAGACTGTAAGAGGGAAGAGAGAACAAGCTAATCAACGAATGGTGCAGATCTTGATTAGTCAGCACTGCCAAAGACCTAATAAGTTCATAAATAGACTGCGGATTTGTATAAGAAGTCAAATTTTTATGAACTGACTATAGATTTCCTTTATTATTTATTATTTTGGAATATTACAACATCGAATTTATACCAAATATATAGTATGTATTTCACCATATTATTTGCTTTTTGTACATTCTCTATAAAAATCCGCAATCAATTTATAAGACTCGAATTTACTGCATGATTATTATTATATTATTGCCTATTGTATCCTATATTTAATACAATCAAAAATTGATACTAATCAGGGGCCAAACGAGGGGCAGTGTATGCAATTCTAGCACAGTTCAATAAACTCTAAATAATTCATACCTAATTCTGTATCGGGTATGGTGATTGGCAAGCACTGATCTTTATGCTTGTGCACATACCATTTCAATTTAACGCTATTTAGTAGTTTTTTTTTTATTCCGTCTCTGTTTATAGTAATCTTGTTCACTTTTTTTATTTATATAATCCAATTTTATATGGTATTCTGTACGGACTATTTGAGTTACAGCTAGTCGAACGAATTTTTAATAACGTAGTTTGTATACTTAGTAAATAGTATTGTCATTTTCATACCTACATATGTTTAATAGTGCAATTTGAAGCATTGAATGATTACAAACATAAATTACTATTCTTTATCAGTTTATTATGTACTATTGCGTGAAGTTTCTTATGTATATACGAATGATATTAAAACTACTTAAAATCGTAATCGATGTTATATAAAAATCAGAAAATTAATTTAACTGATACAGGCATGATCTTCCATTGTAATATTAACGTTTGAATCATTACTTTTTAAACAATCCTTACGGAACAAAGTTGTTAGTCATTGTTAATATGAATATAGATAACGTTAAATTATGAACAAAAATGTTAGATTTGCAAATTATATTAATAATATCGACATATATACTACTTTTCAGTTATTTCATACTCTCAAGTATATAAAATATTATATTAAGAATTGTTGTTCACCTTATGGTACAGAGATCATATCTTTTTTTGCTACATACACAATTAATTTAACAAACGTGGAACACTGCATGTGACCCCTATAGTTTTGGAATTATATATGTAGCTGTAAAAATGATTTCAATACACCTTATATCAATTTCCATGTAAGTAAACTTAACAACGGCCAAATTATTATTTTTAAAGATAACTTGTTCCAAAATATGTAATTAGATGACTTTATTGAATTAATCGCGCTTGTAACGATAACTTGTTCATTGAACTATTTAAAGCATATTAAGTTTACATAATACATACATACTTTAGTGCAGTAGCCACTCTCGACATTGTTATTCTGTTATAATAAATAAAGAATATTATTATACCAAGAACGCTTTTTACTGAATTTTTAATACACACACAATTTTTATTTTAAACAGATTGCATGATATTTAGCGTGTAAATATAGAATGTTTATCGTGCAAAATATTCGTGATATGGAATTTTAAAGAAGAATAATAATGCACGAACATGCATATGCTCTTATAACTTATTATATTCTCCTTTACGACAAGATATTATTTATTTTGATATTGCTTTTAAATTTCGAGTTTAAATTATTATATAAAAACCTATATTTTTCTTACCTGATGTTAAAACACTTGTCAAAAAGCTAGCCAACTCTATTATACGTTTAAAAATAAATGTTAATAAACACGATACATGACGATACCGACGATACTGGAAACTAGCGTCATCACTCATTAGTTCTTTTAACTTGCGCACTACATACTATACACCGCATTTGAATCATTTTCGTAACCTTCCCACATTTTTGGTTTACAAATTAATAAATAATGAACTACTTCTATTTTTTGTAAATTAAAATCGTCAATAGTGTAAATTTAGTGAAAGCATAGAAATTTTTAAAACAAATTACTTAGTTTTATTATAAACGTATATACTAACCTACAGAAAGGTTATTTGGTTCTTAACAGATAACGATTCATACTTATAATTTTTGTTAAATTTTTGAAATAACAAATTCACAATCACGGTTACTTCTTTTTATACATCTTTATACTCGTTATTGTTAAAACTGTAATTGTATGATGATTTTATGATGAAACGTTGCCTGTGCATTTATAAACATTCGATTCGACTATATTTTTGTTATTTTTAGTGTATAAATGACATAGATGAAAGTACGGCATTTTCTCGCGGGTATCCTTATAGGCATTCCTATTGGGATCACCTTTTTGGATACAGTGGGCTACATAGCCAAAGTCGAGGGTGTTTCTATGCAACCAACGTTAAATCCTGACGAAAGGCATCCCGATTACGTTTTTCTAAATCGTCGAGCAGTTCGCACCCAAGACATTCAACGAGGCGAAATAGTAACTGTTAAATCACCGAAAACTCCAGATCAAATTCTGATTAAGCGTGTTGTAGGATTATCTGGAGATATTGTGCGAACGCATGGATACAAAAAAGCAGCCATTTTGCAGGTATTTGCATTTTTAATTATTTCAACTAATGTTTGCAAGCTTCAACTGCAGAGAGCTTATTTTTCTAGGTACCAGATGGTCATTGCTGGGTAGAAGGAGACCATATTGGTCGGTCTATGGATTCAAATACTTTCGGTCCTGTTTCGCTTGGACTAATAACTGCTAAAGCTACCTCTATAGTTTGGCCACCCAGCCGCTGGCAGTACCTTTATCCTTCCATGTCAAATCATAATTTTCCATTAAACTCATCGAAAGTGCCAGCTGGATAAAGTTTAATTTAGAAAAAACAAAAATGAGGGCAGTCAGTTTTGTAAAAAGGTTGCAGTGGGATTTACCTGGTACTGTCTGTAGACATGGCCTAACAATAGGAGACGTAGACAATGATGGTGATAATGAATTAGTTGTTGGCACTACGGAAGGAGAACTTTACATCTTTAAAGTAAATTATGCCTCTTTTTTTTTTAAATTCTAATTGACTAATTATATTTCAATACAATTTACATCATTATGTCATAGGGATCGGAGTTATGGCAAAAGATATCTGGACTAGGTCTTGTTACCAGTGTAGCAGTAGGAGATATTTTTAATTATGGAAGAAATGCGTTAGTTGTGATATGTGGCGATGGCTGGGCACACATATTTTATAGTCCAAGGTCTGTTAATCCTAATATCACCAATGCAACAAGTACCATTCAGCAATCAACTAAAGATGTGATTGATCAAGATAACATTAAGCTTGGTGAGTTGGAACATTATATAACATTAGAATAGAGAATCATGATTACTGGAAATACATTATGTAACAACATACATAATATAACTATTTAACAAATCCTGATAGATTTCTCAAGTTTAGATCAAATAGATAGTAACAATGAAGCAAATGAGTTGTCCGGTAAAATGGAATGTGTCCACGTGCAAAGAATTCCGACTAATACGAAAATAGTGTTAGTGGCGGATGTTGACAAAGATGGGGCAAACGAAATGATACTTGGTTTGACTGATCGCGTGGTCAGATCTTACAGATGGTCAAGCAATCTCGAGTTGGGAAGGGGAAAGCTGGTCGGATTGAACAAATGGGAATGTGCTAATCAAATAGGGACGGTTACGTTACAGGTCTATAATAAATTTCAAAAATATGAAATAAATCTAAATAGAAAAACAATGCTCAGGTCATGACGTTATCCTTTAATTTATTTAGCACATGGCGGATGGGACGCCTACATTATTAGTTGCTCAACCCGGGGGAACATTCATGCGAATCAAATATAATTTGGAGGATTGTCGTTTGGATGATGAAACTCATCAAAAAAATGGCGAAACAGCTGCGAGCTATGTGGACTACCAAACATTGGGAATATCGAGAATGCGTAACCAAAATATCTCGACGGAAATCATAGGAGATCTAGAATCCGCGGTAAAAAATATAATATTGCATTAGGAATTGGAAAAATCGCTCAAATAATATTTTAACTGAAGAGAAAAACAACTTTCAGCCAGAAGTAAGGAGAGATAGTCTAGATCCAGCGGAAGGGCGAAAAAAATCTGCAATAGAAAATTTAAAAATCAATAGAACTCTTGGAAACATTGATCTTTCTAGCGGGGATCAAGTCGATGGTAATATTTTGGGAGGCAATGTGATTCTAGGTGATTACGATGTGAAATCGGAAAAAGATTTCCTGTTACCTTCGTATAAAGATTTTTCGTGCCACGACAATAGCAATAACAATAACGAGGGAAACTTAAAGGCGAAAGACATAAATGAAACTGACGTGACTGATAAAAAAAATTCATCACAAGTCAAGCCGTACGCTCTTGCTACGTTGGACGGAACGATAATGTTAGTCAAGGATGAAATTATTCTATGGTAATATTTTATAAAATATTTTTTTATATTGGACTAATTTTATTAGCAAGGAGAAATGGAAAATAAAAATAAAAAATTAGATATGAAACATTTTTTTTGTCGTTACAGGTCGATGCAAGTGGATCATCAGATATTTGCTTTGTGTCGTCTAGACATAACTGGTGACGGTTCCGACGAGATAGTAGCTTGCGCATGGGACGGGCAAACCTACATTTTGGATCAACAACGGAACAGCGTGCGATTTCAATTCGAGGAACCAGTTAGGGCATTTTGCACCGGCAACTATAATGTGACTCCCGGAATATCGACGCCTTGCGTCGTGTATAACAGCTTTAACAATAAGGTAACGCTTAGTTGTCTTGACGAAATAGTACACACTCTTAGTTATCTATCCGTTCTAATATTTACAGATTTTTTTGTACTATGACGTCACGCTTCCAAGTATGGTTACCAAACCGCTGAATCCAATCGAAGAATTGAGTTTCGAGGAAGAGCGGACTTTGGACGATCTTTTAGGAGACTGTACAGATACGGAGAGGCAACAAAGGATGCAACAGTTAACGGAGTGGTTGTTGTATGGGATGTCTTAAGAAGATTTAATGTTCTAGATTGTATATACGACTAAAGGAAAAAAATATATATGAGAATCGTTATATATTAACCCAACGTTGTTCTTTCTTCAATACAAAATTACACTGTCGTTTGTTGAACCTCCGAACAGAATTTATTGCTACCATATCATGTAGGTACTTCGTGAATAATAGCATCTACGCATCCTTTTTTATATCGATCAAATCAGTTTAAGGTCGCGAATTCTGCGTTATCATGAAGGATATACGACCATCGAAAATTCTTACAAATTTTTTGGTAAACAATGTCGAGAACGGTATCGGTAATTTAATAATTCCAAGGTTCGACTCCGGAGGTTTAAGGGTATTTTGATCTATTTGTACAGAACGTTGCGAAATACGGAACTTTATCTGCCTATCGTAAATTAAACTGATGCTGGTGCGAAATCAGTTAAAAATATAACTGCGATCGCAAACGTCATCCGTTGTTAGTAGTAATGTAGATTTCATCGAGTACTTTTCCAGGCTACCTTACACATGTAGCTACGAGGTCGTATGCGCTAGATTCTTGTACAATTTGATCGATCGCTGGAGTGGCGTCTCACGAAATCCCGTGGAAATATCGTTCGCTAAGATTTTGATTGATCGATATCGGGCACTGATGAATCCGTGGATTTAGATAGCGAATGTTCGTAATAGTAAACAGAAAAGTGAGTGACTTATAAAATTTGATTCGATAGATCGCGATTTTTTATCATAACTATCGTATCATTATCGTGTCGTAAATAAAAAGTAAATGTAAACGGAGTTCGTCTTATTGTTAGTCGTATGATAAACTTGTCTAGTGCCGGAGAGACTACGTGTTCACGCGTACTTTAAAGTGAGCTACTTTTGACTCGTTTTAGAATGGCAGAAAACGAGACGAAATCTTTCATCGGACACGAATTGAGGCAACTGACGTTCGGATGGACCGATTATACATTGTTCACCAGCCTCCTGGGACTCAGCGTTCTCATAGGAATTTATTTCGGCTGTTTCGGTAAGAAACAGGATAACACCACCGAGTACTTGCTCGGAGGCAAAACGATGTCCTGTTTCCCGGTTGGAATGAGTTTAATTGCTAGGTAAAAATATGATAAACATCAGTGAAGACAACGTGATCGTTCGATTCGTTTGCGATCTTATTTGCAATCTTTTTTCCTTATTTCAGTCACATATCGGCGGTTTCGTTGCTCGCTATACCCGTCGAGGTATATCAACACGGCACACAATACGCGGCTTGTATTTTTACATCGTTCATATCATGTGCCCTTATCTCCTTTATCTTTTTACCAGTATTTTTTAAACTACAATTGACCAGCATCTTCGAGTACTTAGAGATGAGATTCGCAAAGCCGGTTCGGATATTTGCCTCTTTTCTCTATACAATCGCCTTGCTCATTTACGTACCACTGATAGTGTACGTACCGGCGCTAGCATTTTCCCAGGCAACGGCGATCAATCTACACCTGATTACTCCGATAATATGCACTGTATGCATATTTTACACAACGATAGTAAGTTATCCGAGTTATAAATACTCTGTACCACACGATGCTCGCATTCAGCAATATATATTTTGTTTTTAATATATTCATTAAGTATCATGAATAATTTTACGATTGGTATCGAGTAACTTTTAAATGATGTTGAATTAATTTTTGAGCAACTCTTAAGGATTAAAGATTGAAGAAAGTGTAAAAAGTGATCGAATTTTACGTTATCGCGCGAAGACAAGTTGACGCGATGTATTGTAAAGAAAGCATGAATGAATCGTAATTACGTTGTTTAATGTAGAATTATAGTAATGATCCTCTCGGCGTGTATCAGCCGTTGTCAAATGTTTGTATTGTCAGATATGTACCGACGACTGCGATATTTACTTTGCTACACGTTACGTACACATTGAAGAGGAAAAGTACTAAACCGGATGAAATAGAGTTTCTGTTTTTCTTTTATTAAGCTGAGCTAAACTTCGTTTTAGGGCACGTTTTCTTTTTTAATTTGATTCTGCATAATCTGATAGCAGTCAATGAACCAAAACTTTATATTTCGTCGATTATTATCAGATCATGAAAAAAAAATTAAAAAACAAGATCAATCTTAAAATGTGTTAAGAGACAGGATAGTAAATTTTCCTTCCGATATATTTAGGGTGGTTTGAAAGCGGTTGTATGGGCGGATACTGTGCAAATGACGGTAACGATTGGAAGTCTGTTCGCCGTGTTCGTCCTGGGGACCATAGCTGTGGGTGGTGTGCCCGAAACTTGGAGATTAGCAGAGGAGGGTGGCAGAATAGTCTTTTTCAAGTACGAAATATTATTGAACATTCACTGCGCTCTAAAATTTATTGTTTTTAATTCGACGAATCGTTCGTTACGTATTATAGCATGGATCCGAGTATCTTTGTCAGAAATTCCTTTTGGGGCATGTCAGTTGGAATGGTATTGAATTGGCTGGCTGGACTAGGTATAAGTCAAGTGTCGATGCAAAGATTTCTGTCTGTACCGAATATCAGAGAAGCACACAAGTGAGTATAACTTTTAATTAGACAAGTTATCGATTATAAGTTTCTTGCGACTTAATTTGAATTACACGTTTAATATCGCAGAGCCGTAGCATTAATGGCAGTGTGTATGGTGATTATAAAATGGGTGTCCGTCTTCACCGGACTTATAATGTACGCCAGATACCACGAGTGTGATCCCATAAGTACTAAGGTAAGAATCACTGTTTGCATATTTACTGACCGCAATTAAAAGTGTTCACAAGGTTTCATCGAATCGATTGGTCATCAGGTGCTTACTAGGAGCGATCAACTGCTCCCGTATTACGTGTTGGACGTTGCCGCGAACGTTCCCGGGCTCCCTGGCCTTTTTCTAGCCGGACTCGTCAGCGCTGGTCTTTCCACGATGAGCGCTAATTTAAACACAGTCGCTGGCACGATCTACGAGGACTTCATTGATCCTTGGTTACCGGACAGTGATAATAAAGAGGTTCGAGCTTCGAGGATCATGAAGGTAAATAAGATGAATATACGCGTGTTTTATAAACCGAATGACATATAAATGATTTTATGATATTTTTCAGGTCATCGTAGTAGTCAGTGGAACGATCTGCGTGATGATGGTTTTTGTCGTTGATCGTTTAGGCGACATCTTTCAAGTGTCTATGAGTCTTCATGGTGTCACGTCCGGTGCTATGCTCGGCATTTTCACTCTAGGAATGTTAGTACCCTGGGCCACAACGAAGGGTGCAATCGCCGGCGGTTTGGTCTCAATGGTTACAATGGTTTGGATAATTGTCGGGGCTCAAGTGAGCATGGCTCAAAAACGATTCTTCTATGCTCCGCTTCCTACATCAACCGATGGTTGCTTAAACATGAATCAAACAACGACACACACGGTTCCCTCTGAGTTGCCGAACGTCGACGATCCACCCTTCGTACTCTTCACCATATCATTCATGTATTACACCGCAATAGGTTGCCTGATAGTAATGATAGTTGGAACGGCAGTCAGTTTTCTGTTTGGTCCTAACGACTTGAAGAATCTTGACAGAAATTATTTCCCACCGATTATTCAGAGGTGTGCACTTCCTCCGACTTTTCATTTCTACAAAGACAGTAAGTCGTTTCATGTGTACATTAATCGATCCGTTTTTAGATTTTTACCAGAGAAGAAGTACACCGAGGTACCGATGCATACGACAATACTGACGAATCCAGAAAAGGAGAAGCTCAATTTATGCGATTAATGTGTTCATACCGTAGTTTAAGTGACGATTAATTTGTACCTCCATTAGAATTAACTCAGTGTATCATGTTTTTAATAAATCTTAAGAAACGGTTAAGGACAAATGAAAAATGAATCCACGAACGATGAGTATCACCGCGTCGAATTCGTTGGAAGAAAAGCTCGGTTCGTAACTGGTTCGCCCCGGGTTGAAAGCACCCATTAGGCCCTCGATGAGGGTGTCAAATTGACTAGATTATATATCTGTCCCACGCATCTCGATACAAACAAACAACTCGAACCGAAACATCTGGAGGAACGATGCTTATCGGATTAGGACGAATGTAAATGCGAAGGGGATGCTTTTTTGTCGAGTCATTCGTTGAGACGATCTCGAAAATCCGCGGAAGATCGATCGTAAACCCACGAATGGTACAAGCAGTTGCGGTTGCACGCGTCTACGATCCGTTTATCGAAATTTAGAAGCGAGTCAAGCGCAACGGCTCCGTTACAATTTGCATTTAGAATATTTTCATTAAATCTGAGGTCAAATTGTATGTTACGTCGGTGCACATGAAATTATTTCAAATAATTTATTAGTTACTTTTATACGTTTTGAATTGTTAAAAATTCTGTTATTCCAGACGACTAGATTAAAGTAAAATGTGTACATTTTTTAATTCTACGTTCACTGTTTCATTTGATTGTTATCCAATTTCTTTTCACTATTTCAAGTATAAATTGATGATNTTAATCTATATTACATGTATCAAAATTATGAACTAAATATTATAAAGGATACAATATAAGGAATATAGTATAAGAGAAATTCAAACTTCAAAAACTGAAGTAAGTATCTTTCAAACACCTAACAAACGCGTGATGGCTTTGTTTCATTGGTTTTATCGTTTCATTAAATAAATGGTAACGCGTTCGCTTGTTCGTCGCGGTTAGCGAAACCGCAAAGTTTGAAAAACAGCGGACGATTTATACCGGCGAATAGCTTACTGTCCTCGACCGCACAATAGAGGGAAGACGTTACGACTGTGAAAAATCAATAACCGAGATTTATCAGTACTGTACAAAGGACCCGTGCGTGGTAAAGCTTCTGACCGCACTGCTATCGGTCACGGTTCACCGAACTAGGATGCGTAACTAACGTAAGCTTTAAATACTACAGCAGTTATTATCAATTGTCAACGTTTCAATGAGCGCTCACGCTGCATTCGCTTTCGCCTTTGTCGCGCGATGATCATTTTAATGAACCGCGTAGTGCAGGTCAGAAGAACGTAAAATAATTCTGGAAGAGAAGATAATCTTTCTATTCCAATCAAGGTTCGATATTATTTCCAGAATATGTCGCTGTCGCGTTTTGTCATGCGCGATAATTTCATTTCTAGAAAACCGCGCATGAGAAGCGTAAGAGACGAAAATAGAGAAGAAGGATTCTGAAAGAGAAAGTCGACGAAGGAAGCAACCCTTATCAAGGATTCGAGATATTATCCTCGGCTTTCAAGAGAACTCGGCCGGTGACGAGGAAAGAGTGGACGATTCTGGGGAAGAGGAGGCGAGGAGAGACGTTACACGTCCGAAGTAGAAACGGCACTTCTTGTCTCTGAACCGGGGACCACATTCCACCGAACCATTTTATTTTATTGGACTGAAAGGTGTCAAATATAGGTGGCAAGGGCCCTCCTACTTACATTCCTGCCGCTTTCCTGTCCTTCTATGTCCCCTTCTGCCCCCCTTGCCTCCCTCTCTCCTTCGGTCTGATTTCACCGTACAGGTAAAATCTTTCGAGGCAGAGGTCGGACCATTGTGACCGAGTGACAGATTTTTGACAGACTACGTCTGATTTGGTGTCGAATGACACGGACCACGATCTCCCGACGTGTTCTCGCTGTTAACTAGCCTTACTAGCTTCGTCGTGTGTGTCTTCGCGCGATCAACGACTTCGATTCTGCGTGAAAAACTGATAGGCAAATGAAAACATTGATAGTGACATAAGAAGCAATTCTCATACAGTTAAATAGGTCCTGAACTTTGATCTATTGCAATCTAAATTGCACCCCAATTAGGATTAACGAGAAGAGGAAAACATCGGAAAGAAGACATCGGTAAAAAATAAGGAAAGGTAAAAGCCGTCAGAAGAAGAAAAAAGGCACGGTAGATAAAGGTACGGAGACTAGAAACGTATATTCGACTTGGCTGCTAATCTTTGTCTCCTTTCTTGCTCTTTCTCCGTGTCGCGTCAAGAGTGTAACCGTACCTATACCAACGCATACATGCGTATATACACGTATATGATGGGGTTCCCCGGTTTTTGTAAGGTCACGGTGTACCTATACGTGCGAAAGCGCATGAAAGCTTGAGGGGGCCGATACACGGTGTGGGATACGGCTTATTTCGGCGACAATGCTTAGGGCCAGGCGCTGGCATAAAGGAGCATAATGCACCCCGCTAACGTGAAAATTATTCTGTCAAACATTCGGACGTCGGATTACTTCGACGCGACGGACGGCGTGGCGGTAACCTCGTGTCCCTGGCCGGGACACTCTTTTTCAGAAAAGGCCAATAGGCTGTGTGCAACTGTGCAGATGCCGAAAGGATTTCTCGGTCAACGAGACGATCGTTGATTTAGAGCGTCAAACCTCTAGAGAGGACGGCAAATTGGGAGGTCGAGTCGAGGGAAACGTAAAATTTATCGATCCATAAAATCCTAACGTTATGCCCCGTGGAGGAGGGGTTATATGCTAATTCGATGATATAATTTCGCGTAACGACCGGGACGATATTTTGCCCAGCATTATTGTTTTCCGGCCAGGTTTTTTATTATTGTTTAACCGCGTTTAATATTCCCGCGTATTTCAGTCGCACTTTTATTATTTCCGCTGCCGCGTTTATGCGGTTGTTTGTGCCCGCGACCACCCTCTCATTCTCAGTGGTAAACAAACCCTGCGACGAATGAATACCGATGTTCCTCTCCTCTCCTCTCCTCTCCTCTCCTCTCCTATTCTCGAAAAACAGGCAAACAGAGGCAGAGAGATGGGATGAGGGGGACAGACGGAGGGAAGATGCAATAGAGACCAGACTGGGCTGCAGACACGCGGAATATTGTGACATTTCTTTCCTGACTGACATTCAATTTTCAGGCTGGTAACGTTGCCGTGCCCCCAACCACACACGCACACTATGTACGTCTACACGCCCGTACCCATATAGAATGGAACACGATATACCCATCTACCTCCCTTTTCTCTTTTCACTGTAGGTACCAATGCAACCAGCCGCACCCCGGGTGCTCTCCCAGTGTATATACAAACAAACAACAACCGTCGTTTGGTCGTGTCCACGAGACCGACACCCGTCAGATGGAATATCGTGCGTATAGATGCTCCACTGGATACGCGCAGGGCGTATGATTTCAGTTTCAAGTCGTGGAAAAGCGCAATGTCGAAATTCGATTACCCATTACATAAATTACATCCATGTAATATGAATGATGAACTTTGTGTAATATAATCGAATGAATTTAGTTTTCTTTTTATTTCATATGAAAGAATTTAAAAACGGTGGAGGGTAGCTTTAGTATTAATCACTTGTTTGTGAAATTTTTTTAATTAAAATGCTGCTTTCTCATGAAGAGCTTTCATCGTTTGCGTAATCCTTTCGAAAGACGTAGAAATATTTATTTTCATGCAGGGAATTACTGTAAAAGAGCGTAGCAAGGAGTGGAAAGGTAGAAATCAAAGGAAACGTTGGATAGAAAATAATATCCACGCGATTCCAGAGATGACCCGGGCGAGTTGTTGCTACTTCGAGCGTGCTTTCCGTCTAATTAGCATCACATTTAATGACGATCAGCCAGGTAAAAGCGCTCATCGACGTACCCCCCTCCTGATTTATGCTCGCAATTACTGACGTAACATCTACTGTGAGTATCAAAAGTGAGTTACTACACCTTATAAAAGTATTACGTCTTATCTTCTTGTATGTCAAACATTCGAATTGTTTTTATTTAACTTTAGCAGTGTGTAATATATCATAACATATACATGTTGAACGCAATTCGTTGGTTTTCTTTCAATTATACAGGGTGACAACTGGTGGTACAACTGGAAGAATAATGATTCCATTTAAAAAAATATGATGAAAATGTAGGATAAAAGTAAGAGAAAATCCACTTAAAATATTTTGGTTAATCGACTGCTCGGTTGTCTGGAATCGACTAATCGATTAAAAAACCTGATTAATCTTTCCATTTTACTTTTTCAATTCAAATTTGTGTATAAACATTTCCAATATCACGAATCGCTTCGTTAGTAGTCCCATTATCCTATTTCTTTTGGTTATTTATGGAGTCACAACAAAATAATGGTTAACTCTGAATAATTGACAAATTTCTATCAACAACAGGAAAGAACTAATTGCGTATTTAATTAATTACAATAGCAGAATATTAATGGGACGTTCAGAGAATTCGTAGAACAGAATCATGTATTGGTTAGAGTTCTTATTTTTTCAACTTTTCCGGTAATAATAAAATTTACCTAACAAATTAAATATTCTGTTTTACTCTTAATTACCCAGTAAAATAAACACGAATCTAATAAGCCTGAAAAATAAATTGGAGCGCGATACGTTAAGTGAAGACATAGTCATATTATACGTGTATCTACTGAATATTCAAAATCGATTCTCTCGCCAATAAAGTCATGTATGATAAACTTTATTCTACATTTTCATTTTATTTTTCGATGTAGGATTACTACTTTTTTGTTTGTACCATCATAGTTAGTGAATAATAAAATGGTTTTCGTACACACACGTAAATAGTACATTTATTTATTTATTTAATTAAACGGCCAGTTCGAGGATCGAAAAAATAACCATAGACTTATTACTGTCTTCTTGCCCTCCTATGAGAAATTAACACAAGGTAAAGCGAGTCGAGAATCATAGTCCCAAACTATATCGCATTTACTAAATCGTTTTTCCAAGTTGTGGACTCACTTTTGACTC